GGGGGAGGGGAAGGATGGGGCTGGGGAGGAGGAGGGTGAGCAGCGATTGGGCAATAGGTTAGAAGCCAAGGTTAGAGAGGAGGAATAATTCGGGGTTCTCTTGCTCTGCGTGATGGCTGTGGTTAGCAATCCATGTTGACTATCTCACAATAGCTGGAAGAAAGGACTCTGAGTGTTCTAGCCGCAAGAGGGCCACGGCAGGAGGCTTGCACAGGCCGAAGCCCTTGGTTTGCCAACCGCACAGTGTATGCATGCGTCAGAGCATCATCTGGGCCGTACGTAGGTGCCCTTGGGGTGCGCCAGCTAAAGGCAAAATTCAGAAGCATCTGTTTTCTATAGGAATTGGGGCACCACAGAAACATCAGAATTCACCTCAGATCTTACTCTCCAGAAATGACCACCGCTCCCTGCTTAAGAGTCTGGCGCACCAGATTCTTTTTTTTTTTTTTACTGTTTTTTGGTAATTTTTAACTTTGACATAATTCTATATTCTTTCAGTCTTTTCCCCTATTCGTTTATATATCATATATATTATAAATCTGGTAACAAACTGCATATAGTTTTCAGAAATCAAAAGAAATGTTAAGTCATGATTCTTTGTCAATGTTATACATTTTCTGGTAATATGATTTCTCCTCATATTTATCACTGAATAATTTTTGTAACTTTTGCAGCCAGGGAAACATATATTAAGGTATATTTCTGCCAGCAACTCTATATATGACTATATATTTTGATCTTGGAATGCTTTTTTTTTTAAATTTTATTTATTTATTAGAGAGAGAGAGAGAGAGAGAGAGAGAGAGAGAGAGAGAGAGAGAGAGGTGTGTGGCCAGCTCAGCCCACCAGGGGGCAGGGCTGGCTGGCATGTGGTGCTGGGGGATCGAACCGCGGTCCCTGATGCTTTGCTAAGCTTGTTCTAAGTAGGTGCTTTAGACCACTGAGCCATCTCTCCAGCCCCTTGGAATGCTTTTTAAAAAAGTTTTTAAAAAAATATTTATGTTCCCCTTAAGATCCTGATGGTTTTTTACTACTTGTTCATAGCTGATATCTTTTCTAGCCAGACAACTGAGTGTAGGGAATAGGACAAGGACCAAGTCACTTTTTGTGTCGTCCAGGTCATTATAAAATCCCGCAGAATGGTGCTTCCTCCACCACGGAGTCGAACCGTAGCCTGTGAGCTAGGTGACCTCACTGGCCTCAGGTACGGCCAGGTCCCTTTTCTGCTGAGACCACACATACTTTTCTGGTGGGGGACAGGCTGCTGGGGATGGAGTACAGGCCCTCACAGGCGCCAGGCAAGCCTGCGTCACCACGGAGCTCTAGCTTTAGCCCTTTGTACTGTCACGTTGAGTCAGGGCCTCGAAGTTGCAGTCCTCCTGCTGCAGCCTCTGGATGAGCCGGGATGGCAGGTGCATGCCACTACCACGCGGTCCTTAGCAGTGTGGGGGAGGGGAGGGGTGGCCGTGGATGAGATCGTCCTTTACATTCACATGGGTGCACTGTTGGGATTTTCTGTGACAGTCAGGTGTTCCCCAGAGCTCAGGACAGTGGGCACCTCCACCCTGGGGTTGGCGGACACTGCCCCTGCCCCCTTCTCATTGAAGTTAGTCTACATGTCCCCCGTGTTCATGGAAAGGAGGAGAGGCCTGGGAGCTGGGGGAAGCAATTGCATCTGTGTGCGAGCTGAGTGCAGGCAGCCCTGGCTGCGAGAACTGCGCCCTAAACCACGTGACCCGATGCAGCGGCACATGCTGGAAATGCCAGCATTCTGGGAAGCTGAGGCTGGGGGACTGCAGGCTCCAGCTCAGCCTGGGCAATGAACAACTTAGCAACAAAATAAAATAGAAAATAAAAAATGAAAAGGGGCTGAGGATATAGCTCAGGATGGAGGCTCTGCGTTCAGTTGCCAGCACCACATACACTGAAATTTCGTAACCACACTGGGACCCCGGGAAGAGCCGACCATGTCTACCACCCCATGCCTTTTCCTGCTTCTCCCCTCACTCAGCAGGGATCTGAGGCGCCGCAGGACTTGATATCTGACAGGCATGAAGTCAACAGTTGCCACAGAGACACGTGGTAACCGCCCCACTAAAACGTCCACTGCTGTACACCAAGCCACATGCACTCAGATGCCCCAGGAAGCCCTGATCCGGGTCACCTCTGGGATGGCTCTCAGGACACAGCGTCCCCTCACACTGTATGTGGTCCTTTATGGTTTCTCTCCAAAGGCGTTTCGATGCCCGCGGCATCCCGGCCTCTGTGCCTGCACAGGGCTTGTGTTTTCTTAGTTGTGTGAGCCCTGGCCATCGGTTCTCAGCTCCCTGGGGAGCGCAGTGCACTGCGGTTGGAACCACTGGCAAGGAACAGCCTCTGCGCCCCTGGGCTCTGTGCTCTGTGTCGCCCAGCCCTGAGCTGAGCCTCTTGGGTCCACTCAATGCTGGCTGTCAGGGTGACCCAGCACCCTGCACCTGATCAATCGATCACTCTGTCCCTCCTGCCTGTCAGCTCAGGCGCTGCCTGCCTGAGTCTGGGTGATGCACGGGCTCTTCTTTGGCTTTGCTTTGCTTTTCTTTTGTCCCCTTGCCCCCAGCCCTTCTCCCGACCAGAAGAGAAGGCCTCTTCAGGCAGGGAGCCCCGGCCACACTGACCCTGGAAGTGGAGGTCCACGCAGTCGGCTTCTGGGTGGCAGTACCCGTTGTTCTGAAGGCAGCGGTCCAGGGGTGGCTTCTCGGGTTCGCAGTCCAGCCCGTCCCCCACGAAGTGACTCTTACATTTACACTTGCGCTTGCCCTGCAGGAAGAGAGGAAGCCGGCAGGTGCCCAGTGAAGGCCTCTGGCTGCAGAGGGTGCAGGAGGGCCCGCTGGGGACAGTGAGGGCCCACGAAAGCACATGCTCACCCTCTCCGTCCCAGCATAAAGGCCACTTCTTCCCGCTCCTCCCCCCAACGCCCTGCACAAAGCGGCTCTCCAGGCCTTTGCCAGCACCCCAGCCTCATCCTGACTCTTGGGAAACCCCGTGGGGCCTGGCTTCTGTGCCAAGCACTGCCCCTCCCTCTCCTCGTAGGCAGGGACCTCGCCACTCTTCCCGTTGCTGCATCCCTGGCATACGCCACAGCACAGAGCAAGCACTTGGTAATCACCGACTGAATCGGTGAACGGTCACATGGAATTGCCAGGACCTCCCGAAGAGGTCTGATTATTATGCCCACTTTGCAAATGAGAAGATGAAGGCTCAGAGAGATTGAGAGGCCAGGCTTAGCCCATGTGGGCTGGAAGTCCCAGAGCAAGGCTCAAAGGTGGCCTGATGTGGATCTGCATCTGTAATCAGGACTGGGCGTCACTCCTGCCATCTGCCTCCCCGCCGCAGACGGAGCACAGGCCCGTTCTGAACGGACGCGAGCAAGTGCTACCCTTCTGCCATTTCTCCACTTTGTGTTTTAATAGACGCTAAACTTTGAATAATTTTAGATTTACAGGAAAGTTGGAGAGACACAGGCTGCCCTTAGTACAAATCTTCTCCCTTAACGTTTCGTCTAGCTGCAGTGCCTTTGGTAGAAGAAGTTAACGTTGTTATCTCCCATTAACTACACGATAGACTTTTTTGTGGGTTCCACAGCTTCCCTACTAATGTGCTTTTCTTTGCCAAAGATGTTGTGATGGCTTAGATATAGAGTGTCACCCGCAAGTCTCGCATGCTCTGAGGTGACTGGAAGGTGACTGGCCCCTGGGAGTGCTGTGCTCATTGTACGGCACTGTCCGTTCTGAACGGACATGGCGATGAGGTCATGGCGAATGTGTTGTGAGGAGACAGGGCTGGTGGGAAGAGCAGGTCACTGGGGGCGTGTGACCCCGAAGGACGTGTCTCCCTACTGGGCTTCTCCCTTATCTCTGCTTCCCAGCTGCCATGAGGTGAGGAGTTTCTGTTCACCTGCACCCTTCCACCATGATGCTTCTGCAAGCCCTTTTTTTTTTTTTTTTTTTTTTTTTTGGTACCAGGGATCAAACTCACAATCTTGCACTTGACAGGAAGGCACTTATACTGTTGAGCTATATCTCCGGTGCATTTTCAATTTTTTTTTGATACTTCTGCATTTTATTGCACTCAACATTAACCAGATGACATTTACATTATTCTTAGGAAATACATTGACATTGCCTAATATGGCACATATTCGGAAAGACACAACTCATTAACTTAAATATTTGGAATTGAAAAGTATCTGAAATTGACCACAGCATAATGAATCCTTAATTTCAAGTTCTAGAGATAATTATTTACAAAAATCCAGTAAAACTTAATCATTCATTAACTCTACATCACTCCTAAGTTTCTCTATAAAAATATGGCTTTATAAAAAGTAGTGTCCTATAATTCACAATAGAAGAGCTTAACTATGAGTGTCAGTTCTGTACCCATATCACAGCTTTAGAAAGTTATTGCTATTATTCCTAACTTAGTTCAGGTTTTCACTACACATTGAATCATCATGCAGAACTCACATGTAAGCATAACTTAGAATGCTAAAAAATACTCTTTTTTTGATTTTTAGCCTAAAAGCTAAAGAAGTTACCTTATCTTTAAAAAAAAGGGGGTAACATAATGAAGAGGTACCCCGACCCATACACGAAACTCTTCCTTATTCTATTCTTATAGCTCATGATTATTTCAAAATGATGTTGCAGCTATCCTTTTTTCTAAGGGCTATTTTCATTGCAACAACCATTTCTGAGTCAAAAATAAAACCACATTAAAAATGGAAGAAAATCTTCAGTGTAAAAACAAAAAGGCTCAGGCAGAGGACTTGGAGAGCACTTTCCATAGATCCTAAATCAATCTAACTAGAGTCACCACTGCGCTTATCTAGTGAGAGCATCGTGCAAACACCTGATTGGCATTGCTCAATCAGCCAAAGGAAGAAAGATCTGCATGTTATGTACCAGTGATTTACATAGAGTTTCTAGTTTTTAAATAGACATTGAATTGGCTACAGCTAAATATGTCTCATATCTATGGCACCAAACAGCATTTTTGCCTAAGACACTTCAGCAAGTCATTTCTTTTCCTTATGTCCTAATAAGAAACGCTAGTGTCCTCTCTCATTTTGAAAATAAATTAGTCATGATTTAAAACTTCCTTTGAAATACTAAATTTTGCTAATGAAAGCTACAAATTCTCAAAATTTGTGTTGTAACCTGAATACTCAAAGGTGATACAGAAATTTTTGATAGGAATATCAGTGCCGATATCTGCACCTCACGCCTTCGCGAGGCGCACTTGAGCACTTCCAAATCATGTTTAGCGCAGCATTCACACATTAGTCTGACAGTGCTAATTACTGATACTCTATTATTAAAACCCTGAGAAGACAACTGCTGCCACACCATCAATATAATCATCTAAAAAAATACACATAAATGCAATTAAGACTGAAGCTATTTCCCAAAAGGATGGGGGAAAGAAGAGACAGAATTGCTCTGCTAATGCTATCAGCAAAGTATGTGCAGGAATGTAACATCATATGTGGCTTTTGTTTTAAAAAAAAAATACACTAAATGCCAGTGGACTACAATTCATTCAAAACATCTTTAGTGTTCATCCCCAAAGATCTTGATCTGCTCAGTAATTACGTCACAAGATCTTTCACAGCCATTGTTTGGAGCGTATGGTTAGGCTGGTCCTCCTGCAGTAGAAGGGGTAGTCTTTCTGAAGCTTTATGTATCTGGTGATACTTCCTGGGGTTCTTCCACAGGAGGAACACTTACTTCTTCTAAAATTACATTTGAATCTTCTATAGCATTATCTGAAATTTCTATTGGTTTATTTTCTGAAGGTTCATATGCTTGTTCACCATAGTCTTGGTATGTTACATCACCTGCTTCCTGGTACAATCGTTCATCATCTGCTAGTGGTTCACTGGAATCTGGGTTTAGTTGGTCATATATTATCTCTTCCATATCCTGATGGTCTTGTAAAACTGTGTCTTCCACATAATGATCCTCAGAGTCTTCATGAAATGTTTCAGGTTCCAGAGTCTCAAGTCTATCATCGGCATGAGATGCAGTAAGGAAATCTTCCTCCTCCAGCCGTAGTTCTCCTGCCGGCGCCTCTTCTTCCTGTTGTAAGTTTTCTCCATGTTCTGTGTGTATCATTTCATGAAGGATGGACTGAATTTGTTCCTTTACTTCATCTTCAATATTCTGGGGTTCTGTCCCCGCGGGAGCCTGGTCCTCGGGCTCGATGTGTGGCTCAGCGTCCTCTGCTGGGAACTTTGGATCTGAAGCAGTTCTTTCTTTAAGGCCTAGTAAAACTTTGGCATCATCCACATCAAAGTCTCCATCACCATCAGCATCGTAGACTCCCAATTTTCCTAGAACTTCCTCATAATCAACAAGCTCAAACCAAACGACAGCTACTGAAGTCCAGACTCCCAGCAAGGCAATGACCATAAACCAGGTGAAAAGGAGCTGCCCGAGAGTCCTCCTTTCCTTCCATTCTTGTGTCCTCCGTGCT